CTGGAGTACTGCGTCCAGTTTTGGACCCCACAATTCAAAAAGGATGTGGAGAAGCTTGAGAGAGTCCAGAGAAGAGCCACACGCATGATCAGAGGTCAGGAAAACAGACCTTACGACGACAGGCTGAGAGCTATGGGGCTCTTTAGCCTAGAAAAGCGCAGGCTCAGGGGTGATCTGATGGCCACCTATAAATTTATCAGGGGTGACCACCAGTATCTGGGGGAACGTTTGTTCACCAGAGTGCCCCAAGGGATGATGAGGTCGAACAGTTATAAACTACTGCAAGACGGTTTCAAGCTGGACATAAGGAAGAATTTCTTTACTGTCTGAGCCCCCAAGGTCTGGAATAGCCTGCCATCGGAGGTGGTTCAAGCACCTACATTGAACACCTTCAAGAAAAAATTGGATGCTCATCTTGCTGGGATCCTATGACCCCAGCTGACTTCCTGCCTTCAGGCTGGACTCGATGATCTTCCGAGGTCCCTTCCAGCCCTAATGTCTATGAAATCTATGATCAGCCCCACGCAGGCCCACATGGGGTTGAGAAGGACAGGCTAGCACATGGCTGCTCCATAGGAGCTAGGTACAGGACAGCAGCAGCTTAGGTATTTTTCTCTCTGGGACAAGCAGGACTGAACACTGTCCTTCCCTCTTCCCACTCGGCACCCCACACACACCCCTCAGAGGACAAGGAGATTTGGCCCACAGTTCAAACTTATTTATACCTCTGCCTGACAGTCCAAGACCAAGACCTACATTTCCTGCAGCAAGCTCTAAAAAGGGAGAACCCAGAGTGAAACCAGTCCCATCACTGCTCCTCGCCAAGCCCTCCATGCTTGATGGCCCCAGAAACACCACTGGGCACCTCCCATGCAACACCATGTGCCCGTTTCATCTCTCAGAGCCCTCCATCTCAGATACGCCTAGTTAAACCCAAACCCAGGGTTCCAGTATCACTGCCCCACAAGGAGTCCTCTGCCCTGCTGCACCCTACCATGACATTAAGATCCCACAGGATGACACTGCTGCAAAAGCAGCTCAAGGACATCTCATCCCACTGCCCCAGACCCCAAGAGTGCCATCCAGCTGGGTCCCGAGCATACTCCTGGGGGAAACTCCACTGATTCCCACTGAAGGGGCTGCCCAGTGAGGGGAGAGCAGGCTGCTCCAGGAGACCCCAGTGGCACCTCTCTCAGGAAGCCTCTGACCCAGTTGGCCCAGGGTGCAAGTCATCCTGTCAGTGTCTTGGGTTTGCCATGTCTCTGAAGATGCCACCTCACAAGGTTCTGCAGATGCCAGCATACTGCTCCATCCCTAGGCGTAGTATAAGGCACATGGTGCTGAAGGCAGTATCCTGTCAGGCAGGCAGGACCCTGCTTGTTCTGTCCCATGCAGTGTGAGCCCAGATGCTTTCCCCCGGGTACATGGCAAATCCATCACTGAAAAGTGAAGCAGCCTCATAAAGGTGCCTTAACTGAGGCTGTCACAAGATAATGACACCCATTACAGCTGTGACAATTAAATAATACAGTTAATCACAGCTGATAAGGGACATGAAAACCCTTAGCCCTGAGACTCCCTCAAAGATGCCACTCAGGGCTAATGCATAGAAGTGTTTTTTCAAACCTCTTTAAAATGTTTACAAATGCTTTTATTTTTTCTTTTTCATAGTCCAAGAAATGAAAAACAATGAAACAGGGATGTCTCCCAGCCCATGTCATAAGCAGCCACTGTGTGTGGCACCACAAGCTCCCAACAGTCAGTAAGAGGAGGAGATAGGGGGTTCAAGCCTCCAGCCATGTCAAATGGAGAGGCAGCAGGATGCTTCTGCAAGAAGTATCACTGCCAAAAACCAAGGTATGATTTTACTGGCCCTGCAGCTGCTGCCAAATTAAGGCTTTTGGATCCTTGCTTGCCATATAAACCCACAGTGGTTGCAGAGCCAGGGAGGGGTTAACCTGACTCTTGGAGGTGACACCTTTTGGCAGCATTCTGCCACTGTCCTGTTCTGTGCCACCAGAGACTTGACCGCCCCACCCCTCCATTCTGGTGCCCCAGGGTGCACACTCTGTCAGGTACACTTCTGGGGGCAGGGATCAGTGTGGGGAGCAGCGGGGTGCTTAACCTTTGGAACACCTGCCAAAAGGATTGGCCATCACTGACTTAATCCATCCTATCGCATGTTACAAATGACTTAATATGAGGAAAATATTGACCTGTTATACATAGATCTTTCAATTAAATTGGGAACTATAGCACAAGTCCTGATTGGAATAAACAGTCTAAATAAGAAGCATAAAATCATTATAATGTATTACTCCTTAAAAGCAACCTTATCTATTCTTCGTTAGAAAGAAAGTTGCTACAGTAATGATTGATATACCCAATTCTAGATTAAAGGGTTGTGAAGACAAAAGGGACCTTTATGACTGCTTGTGTAAGGTACTGGATTAAAGCCTGCAATAATAACTGTATCAAGCCTAATAATGTGCAGCTGATCTAGAACCCAGCTTAAAACATGTGACTGGAACTAAAAATTCAGTGAGGAGGAATCTACATCCTTTAAATTGTTCCAGGAGCCAGTTACTCTTACCAGAAATGTATGCTTTAAAAATAATTGAGAAAGTTTAACCCGGGTGACATTCAGTTTTCCTATGTTTAAAATACTTAAACTAATAAATACACACAATTCAAATAAAAACATGATTTTTATATAATTTAATAGATGTACATTTACTGTATTTTTTCTGTACTCTTCACTCAACCTACATATACTATCTTTAATTTTATTACAATAGAATATGTACAAAATTACAAAAAGAAATAATCAAACAATGGAGTAAACTCAACGGTGGTCTGCATAACTTGTCCCAATCATACTTAATCTATACATGGTGAGACATAAATCACACCAACAAAATCTTTTCCCTTCCTTACAATGAAAGCACGTTTCAGCTTTAAACACTATTCACTTAGCCTTTACAGTTAGAGCATTTTGTTCCAGTAACTTTGTCAAAATTAATACTGGAGCAGTAGAGGCAGAAAAACAAAACAAAACCAAACCCCAATCAATAGCACTTACTGCTCTCTATATAAGCAGATAACATCACTCAGCCCCAATATTAAGAAAACTTCTCTTCTAAGAGCACCTGCACAACTCATCCGCTAGCATCAGAGAGAAGAGCTGCTTTGAAGATGTCCATCTTCAGTTACATCTTGTAACATACACAGGCAGCACTGTTATTTCCTTCCAAATGGATCAGACCATACTTTTAACCCTACAAAATAAGAGAATGGCTCTCAGAAACTCATAGCATGACTTCTTGCACAACAAATGCCAAAAAAATATCCAGTAATTTCAGCATCAAGACTGTAACTTATTTGAGCTACTGCCCATCTTTTAGAAAGATATTGAGGGTGTAGATGCACAGCACATTTACACCAATGCAACTTACATGATTCTGTACATGAAAATAAGTTATGCTGTTAGTAGGAGTGGAAATACGACCGCTTCTCTGGAGATGGGCACTATTACAGTGGCTTATCACTAGGTGGTGGACTAGTCAGCTTCTTTGCATGGAGCAAACAAATACCCTGGAATGAAATTGTTAAGAACTGTGGACCCACATACCAGTAAATTACACAAGTATAGTATTTGTACATCATATGCTCACACCTCAGGGAAGCCCTGAGGTGCCACAGCAGGAACTGGAAGGAGGGAAGGAGAGAGGTGTGAGGAGGAAGGGAATGGGGCAGAAGGGAGGGGTAATTAATACAGTAATACCTTGGTTAATGAAGTAGATGCGTTCCATGACATCACTTTGTTATAAGAGGTAGAAATAACATAGGAGGTGCAGGGGGATGGGGGTATAGTAAGAAAATATAATTAAATACTCAATTAAAAGCCTCCCAGAGCTCCTCTAGCCTTGCTGGTTCCCCTCAACCCCTAGCCCTGCTGGAGGGGGCCCCCAGCTGCCAGGGCTATGGACCCGAGTCACAGCCCCCTGCTGTGGCCTTGGGCAGGGCAGCTCCCCACCACCACACGTGCTCCCGGGAGCAGGGAAGACCCATGCCCTCCAGATGTGTATGGGGAGCAGACACAGGCTGAAGGCTCCTGCCCTGCTTCCCTCCCCCAGGTCCTCCGCCACCCAGTGGGCATGACCCAGTGTGGCTGGGGATAGTGGGGATCTTGCTGCTGCAAGCTGCCGACCCCCCCCCCCCCCTCCCCGCCACTTTGAGGGGTGCAGCCCCGCGCTGCTGCCTGCATTGAACCCCTGTGTGCAGGAGGTGCTTCACCGGGGCTGTGCAGGGCAAGTGGCAGCGAGAAGATCTCCAAGATCTCCGTGTGGCTCCTCCGCTCCCTGCAGCACCTCAGAGAACAACACCGCAGGAACTCCCTGCAGAGAACAGCTGCCTCCCAGCTTCCCTCTCCCGCAACCCAGCGTTGCAGGGAGCGGAAGAGCTGTGCAGAAAACCGCCTTGCAGAAAAGTTCCCTGCAGCACTGTTTCCTGAGGCGCTGCAGGGAGCGGAGGAGCCGCGCAAGGATCTTCTCGCTGCTGCTAGCCCCACGCTGCCCTGGCGAAACACCTTCTGCACGCAGGGCTGCAGTGAGGGCTGCAGCACGGAGCTGCACCCCTCAAAGAGCAGCCGGGCAAACAGCTGCTATTCCCTGCCACTCTGCTTCCCACCCCTGGTTGCCTCTACAGCCCGGTAGACACAATCATCCCAGCTGAGTTGCAGAGGCACCTGGGGGAGGGAAGCAGAGTGGCAGGGAATGGCAGCTGCTCACTGCTCCTCGCTCTGCCCTGCTTCCCTGCCCCAAGTCCGCGCGGAAAGGCTGCGAGCTCCATGCTGCATGCAGTGGCACACATAGGGTGCGCATCGCCAAGGCAGCCAGGGCGAGCACCTTCTCCGCGCAGCCCTGCTGTTATCAGCTGCGCTGGATCATACCCACCGGGCTGCAAAGGCACTCAGGGCAGGGAATCAGATTGGCAGGGAATGGCAGCCGGTCGCCCTACTGCTCTTTGAGGGGCACAGCCCCACGCAGCTGTCTTGTACACAAGAAGCATGACACCAGGGCAGCATGAGGTGAGTAGGTTCTCTGTGTGGCCCTGTTGTTCCCTGTCACCCCACTTCCCTTCCCCTGAGCCTCTGCAGCCTAACAAGCATGACCAACAGGCACAGCAGGGCCACATGGAGATCTGTGCACCACTGCGAGCTCAGCACTGCCCTGGCAACACACCTCCTTAACGCCAAGCTGCAGTAAGGGCAGTGGCGCCAGAGCTTGCAGCCTGTCCCTGCCCTGCTTACAGATGTGGGGGGCATGGGTACCCACTGCCCCTTGGAAGTGTGCACAGCAGTGGGGAGTCAGCCCTCCCCCGATGAGCCACCTGAGGCTCCATCATGCTCCTTGCTGGGGTCCTGCAGCTGCACACAGCGGCCCTGGGCCCCAAGCACCCCCCCAGCTGGGCAACAGCCCCAGCCCCTGCCCAGCTCCCTCCCTACAGAGACCTTAATCCCCCACTTCCGCCCCCACTTACTTACCAGAGCTGCTTTGAGCCTGCCTGGGGGCACATGCATATGCTGTACGTGCACGTGGCGCCCCCTGTCTCACCACCTTCCTTCCGCTTCCACCCAGCTCCCTGCAGACTGGAACTCTGCCAGCCTGCAGGGAGCTCATTGCCAGCAGACTTTGTTATAAAGAAGCTTTGCTCCCAGAGGCTTCTTTAGTTAGTCAGAGGAAGGGTGGGAGGGGGTGAAGAGGGAGGGAAAGGGGTTACTGCAGCTGGCTGGTAAAGCTTCTGGCTGGCTGCTGCAGCCCCATCAGGACTTCCTGAGCTGTCAGGCAGCACAGCCCCACCAGACAGGCAGCACAGCCTAGGGAGCCCCGGGCACCAGCTGCCAGCCAGGACCAGATTAATGCATAGGCCCTGCCACCAGCAAGAGGCTGCAGTCCCTGGCATGTCCCACAGCTTCCCAGGGCCAGCTGTAGCAGTTCAGGGGGGAGAATAGAGGCAGGCAGCAGAACCCCACTAGGCAAACAACTCCTCCTTCCTCCCACCCCTTCCTGCACTGCTGCAGCCCCTCACTGGCTGCTGCCTCCTTCCCTCCCCCCTTTCCTGGGTTGTGCTGCCTGCTGGCAGGGCTGCTTTGGCCCCCAGCTCCCTACCCTGCCCTGGAGGGGTGGGTGTAGCCCCTCCTCCATGGTAGGGCAGGACAGGTGCCAGCCCAGGGCTCAGCACCCACCTGTCTCATCCCCCACTACCCGCAACTTTGCAGAGCCACAGGCTGGAAGCCAGCGCTGCCACCCCCACCCCCATCCATGCACCCAATTGATTAATTGCTTAAATTACTTTAATTACAATAGGTTAATGAATATTCATTTAATCAGTATTTGCATCCCTATTTCATTCCATTCCTGGCAACTGACATGGAGACAATGGGCAGCCCCTGCAGAGTACCCAGCATGCTAGAAACCAGGAGCAGGGATCTTTTAGAAAGGTTTTCTTGAGCTCACATGGAACTCTTGAAGCTCTTGTCCCATACTCTAGTCATTTTTTCAATAGCCTTTTTGAAGAGCTGGCACAAGCCTGTAGCAACAGTCTCTATAATGCCCAATACAGAAGTAATATAACCTCCCTAAACTGATTCCATAGTCCCTTAGAGACTTTCACAGAAATTGAAGTAAGTGATCCTTTATTATAATTCAGTATATTTGGGTTATTGCAGCCAACTCTGAATGGCTAGTAGCCAACATCCGAATCATCCCCTAGCCCTTGGTATTATTTTACCCATCAGCAAGAATCTTTCAAAGACATAGCAAGCTAGCTGGAAATTAAAACAGCAATTACTTACAAAAATTTTATGAGGTTGAAAAAAGTCACAGATGGTCCAGTACTTCAATTCTACTTACTTGTTTAATTATGTAGGTACTATTCAGAGGAGACTGCAACCATACTTTTTACACATTTAAGACTGAGTCTTTAAACAGAAATTATTCCACTTGGAAATCTATTTAAATCTAAGAAACCTGTACAGCGGCTGCTCTGAAACTTGTTTGAGAGAAACCTTCATGTGAAAAAGCTGCACTGATTTACTTCAATCAGTTGCAAAACAAATTTAGTTAAATCAGTAGAGCTCTTATGTCAAGAACTAGTCTGATGTAGGATGTGATATGAAATCAGTATTACAAGAATTTTTTTATAAGTGAAAAACTAAACTAGCAGACTTCACCATCTTTTCAATTATGTTTAGATGCTCAATTTGAATTCTCATGAACAAAGAGACATACCTGGAGGCTGGATGTCTTCTTGAACAATACCAGCTCGATTCTGTGCCTGTTCTTGCTCTGGGAAAAGCATAAGTGCAAAGAAAAGAATCACCATTCACTTTCATGGTTGCTAAACAAACATTTATTAAAACCAGCAAAAAATGAAGGTTAAGGCATGAGGTGCTAGTGAATACTTTTGCGCCCAGCAAAAGTGATACAAAATTTCTCTCTCACAGCAATGAATGCCAAATGTTAGTTGTCAGGTTCTTATAACCAAACTGCAAGGAAGCCACATGAGCGTAACAAGCTCTTGTGCTTCTTTAAATGCTAAAATAAATAAATAAATGTATATATAGAGATTTTACACACACAAAATCTTTAGAAGTTTATTTATTTTTACTTCAGCATGGTTGTGAAGTAACATGTTTTGGACACCCAAAAGTCGAATATAATTGGAGATTATCCATTATACATATGAGAGGTTCCCAAACTTTTTCTTATTGTGTACCCCTTCCAGATTTAATCAGCTGCCCCCATGCCCCTACTAGCATACATTTTATATTTTAACCCCTTAATGACAATTATTATAATGGAAATTAAAATCCACTGTTATGCAATTTCTCCAGTGTACCCCCTAGAGATGTCACGTACCCCCAGGAGTACACGTACCAGTTTGGGAACCCATGATATACATGATATCCAAATATATCCAACTTCAGGTGTCTGAAGCACAATACTTTAAGGTGTCCAAAAATCATGCTATAAAATTGGGTATACCTGGGGGGGGAGAGAGAGAGAGAAAGAAAAAAAACAGTTGCCAAATATATCCAACTTGAGGTGTCGGAAGCATGTTACTTCACAATCATGCTGAAGTAAAAATAAATACACATTTTATTTATACATATAGATAAATAAATAAATAGTGTCTTTTTTTATTTCCAGACACCTGAAGTGTGATATGTTTGGAGATCTGTGTGTATGTCTCAAAATACAGTCAACTCATGGGCATCCAAAAGTTATGCTGTGAAGTAAATAAATATACAAACATACAAATATACAAACATAACTGAAGATGCAGACAGAAGTGACAATTTTCATCCAATCTCGCCACAGAAAGCAGTCTATAGCTGTGACCAAACAACTGCTCGGCTGCAGACAGCTTAAAAATGGCCAATCTGGTGAAATCTGACCCTTCGTTACATGAAGTATCAAATAAAGACATTTCAAAATATAGCGCCTTCTGTAACCTGTGTCTGTGGAGCTCCCAGTCCGTTGCTGCTTTCAGAATGGAAGGAAGGAAAGGGAAAAGGAGTTCAGTCGGGGGGCCGGGTTTGGCGCCGGGAGGTGGGGCAGGAATATTGGAGCCCCCCGCCAGAGATGGGGGGGGCCCAATTCACCCACCCCACCCTTCAGCACCGGCAGGGAGCCCCAACAATGAGCTCCCTCCATTGCCGTTCCCCTTCCCATTCTGAAAACAGGGAGCACTAGCAGAGTGCCCTGGCCGTTGCTATGGGAACCAGACTGCAGGCACAGCTAGATTCCCCTCCCAGGGGAGGGAAGGAACATGGGGGCGCAGATCGAGGCCCCCATGGTGAGGGAAGGAATGGGGCAGGAGCAGGCACTGCCCAGCCAGGGTGGTGAATGGGACCCCAGGGCCAGGAGCTGGATGGAGTCGCAGGCAAGTCGTCTGGGGGCAAGGGGAGGTAGGGAGGGAGAGTGGCTCCCCACCACAGCTAGTGCCCCTGGGAGACGCATGGGGGACATATTCCCCCCCAGACTTGTGCGCGGGTGAGGGTGGACTGTCTGCTGTGTGCTCATGGCCAGGGGCAGCACCAACCTCTTCCCAGCAGGGGGATTGGGATGGGGCTATGCTTGGGGCAGGCGGGAGAAGGGCAGACTCAGCTGCATGGGGGAAGGTGGCAGTGCTGGGAGGGGTGGCTATGGGGCGGGCGAG